GTCATGCTGACCTTCCGCATGGCCGACCTCGACCAGGTCATACCTCGTCACATTTTTTGCATAAACAGCTATGTTGGAGCAAGATTGTCACTTGGAGATGATATATCTCTTAGGCGGTGTTTGGTTCCCTCATTTGTTTCATAGTTTTATAAACTCAAGTTTGCTACAGTAAATACTTCACTCGCCAAGTTACTACAGTGTATATTTTTTCTTTATTCTCTTCCCTAATAAAAATATATTTATTTTTTTAATTAAATATATTAAATAAATGAGAAAATTAATTCAAATTACATGTAATAAATAATTAATTCATATATTGACACTTTTTTATCTATTTATTTTTTCAAATGATCGGAGAAGAATCTAATTTTTTTTGTTCTTGCTATCTATTTATAGCTGTTTTTTCTTCATTTTGTTGGTTTACTCATTGTCGATGGTGAACCATATAAAATGTATGTTGAAATGTACCTTAAAAAGATCTATAAAATGTATTTTGTGAAAATGTAAAAGTCATTTCCATAATTCCTCCATTTTTATTTATAAGTGAGCTTCTGTAAAATATTAACACAAATTTTATACCCAATAAATTTTTTAATATAAATTAAAGCTAGACTATAATTCAAAAAATTTATTGGCATGTGTATAAATGTTGTATTAAACTATCGTGGTTGAGAAAAATTATATTAAATATAAAATCACAGGAAGAAAATAAAAAGTATCGAGACCAAATAAATAATTCGAAAGTACAGAAATGAACAAAAATAAGCTCACTTTCATGTAAATCATTGAATTGGTCATTTACCTAACACAAAATAGGCAAATTTAATTTTTTGAAATTTCAAAGTCGTGTTTTATAATTCCTTCATCTTTATTTCTAAGTGAGCTTCTGTAAAATATTAACACAAATTCTATACCCAATAAAATTTTTTTAATATAAATTAAAGCTAGATTATATTTCAAAAAATTTATTGGCATATGTATAAATGTTGTATTAAACTATCGTGGTTGAGAAAAATTATATAAAAAGTAAAATCACAGGAAGAAAATAAAAAGTATCGAGACCAAATAAATAATTCGGAAGTACAAAAATGAACAAAAATTAAAAGTAGATGTTTGGGAGCACAGATGAAAAATTGACCAAATATTAACAAATTTGAAAATTCATTAATCAAAAGTGAATTTTTGTTGATGGAGAGTTTTGGTTAGAGAAAATGGCATAGGTAACCTAAAAAAGTTTGTACTTTGCTCAATTGACTTCAATTAGAAAAATTGACTCAACTTACCAAATTTATTATTTGGAATAGAATATTGAAGGGATAAATTACTATTTTAGCCTCAATTGGAAAGCAAATGAGAAGTAGCAAACGAACCATAAACCACGGGCGTGATCGAATTAACACGGCGAGGTTTTGACCCTGGTTATTGTTAGCTTGACCATGGGCAAGGTTCGACCTTGGTTAGTGTTAGCTTAACCATGGTCGTGAAAAATACAACCACGACCGTGGTGTTAATGAAATACATCTAATGGGCGATGTTTGACCTTGGTTAGTGTTAGCTTGACCATGGCCATGAAAAAATGGGACCACGACAGTGGTGTTAATGAAATACATCTAATGAGCGAGGTTTGACCGTGATTATTGTTAGCTTTACCATGGCCGTGAAATTAAGATCACGACTGTGGTGTTAATGAAATACATCTAATGGGCGAGGTTTGATCGTGGTTATTGTTAGCTTTACCATGGGCGTGAAAATTAAGACTACGACCGTGAATTAAATGACCATTATACCCCTAAGTTAATATTCTAATCGTTGGTATCCTCTCATTCCATCTTCCTTTCTTTTCTTCCATTTTCGTTTTCGTTTTCGCCCATCCAATTTACTCTGCCTCAATTTTCTCAATTTCACTCTCTACTAGTTTCTTGCAATTTCGTGCTCCGAATCACTTCACATATCTGAAACTTCGAGGTTAGCACATTTTATTTGGTATTTGCATCCCTTTTATGGCAAGAGAAGTTTTTTTTCTACTCATTGTTCCATTTTTTTCATTATTCGTCCTTTCATTCCTTCCATGGCCACCTATTTAGTATTTTCGATACTTCTAGGGCTTGAAATCGGTGTCTTTCGTTTATGATTTGTTGTCTTTCTTTGCGATTGTGGTTGAAATTTTGATTTAAGTCTTTAGGGTTTATATTTTCTGCGGCAGAAATCGTTGACATTTTGGGCTTGCGTGGGTTTGTGTGGGTTTTCGTTAAGAGTTATCTGTCTGTTTTAGGGTTTTCGGCAGTGGAAGAATGAGGGTTTTAGGGTTTCGAAATTTTGGTTGAACCACGGCCGTTAACGCACTAATTAATTTACCCAGAACCAATGCTTCGTTAAAAAACCACGATCTCGTTGGCCGATAATTTCGACAAAATCAATATCCTCGTTCAAGTTGCACGGGAATTGGATTTTGCCATAATTTTCGGTCACGACCTAGGCCATGGTAAGCCCGTGAATTTGGACAAAATGCGTGTTTCTTTACTCTTATTTTATTATTTTCATCTGTTCCTTTCTCTTATTTTATCATTTTCATCTGTTCCTTTCTTTGTTTGGCTTCTGACTTGCTGAATAATAAGTTTTATATATATCGTATTTGTATTTCAGGTTTAGAAAATGGATATGGTACCTAAGATTCCTCCCACTAGTTATCGTTCAGCCAATTTGACCTGTCTATCCAACATAGGGAGCACGATCAAGGCTATTAAAAGTAAACTAACCCCTAGACAACTTAGTATGTTTAGGAAGACCATTTTCGACCATTTGCTAGACATAGAGCTCATAATTAATGGGTCACTTATACACAACCTGTTGCTTAGGGAGTTGGAGGATAGTAGCGTAGATGTAATTACTATGGACGTGCTTGGTAATAGAGTATCATTTGGATTTAGAGAATTTTGTCTGATCACGGGCCATAAATATAGTAGATGGTTGATTCGTAAGGACACTTCTCCTAAGAGGCTTAGGAAGTTGTACTTCGATGACAAATTCGATATTTTACTGAATGAGTTCGAGACGAAGTACATGGTGATGCGGTTCGAGGATGACCTTGATGCGGTCAAGATATTGATGTTATTATTCGGGGAGCTTGTCTTGTTTGGGAGGGATAGGACTTTGAAGCTGGATAATAGCCTCTTAGGAGTTGTGGATGACCTAGAGGTGTGATGTAATTATAACTGGGCTGAAATGTCTTTCGAGAAGCCTATAAGAAGTTTGAAGCGTGCCTTGACGAAGAAGGGAAAAGATGGGGGGTTGAGGAAGACGTATAGTTTGTACGGTTTCCCTAGGCATTACAGGTATTTGCAATTATTGTTTTAGTTTTACATTATATTATATTTTGTTCATTTTATGTGATGTTGTCCCACGTGGTGTTAGTACAGGTTTGGGGATACAAAACAATATCTTGTTTGACCGAGCGGGTTGCACATCCTATAAAATCGGATGCTGTCCCACACATACTTAAGTGGAAGTGCAGACATTCACCTGCGTGGGTTGTCATGGAGAAGAAGATATTCTAGTTTACATCGGTAAGATCCTTTAGTAGTACATCGATATGGTATTTATTTTCATATAACGTGCCCTTAGTAGTATGTTTTGTGTACAGGTTAAAGTGGCTATAAGACTATTCAAAATGGAAGTGGATGAGAGGTTCATGAAAAGGGAATTCGATCAACCATCCAGTGATGACTTCGTTGACGAGGAACATGCAAGCGAGCAAGTGTTGCCTGCAATGGAAGGTCGTGACATGCAGCACGATGCCACCCATGACTATCCTGATGTCTCGACCATGGATACAGATGTGAGAGGTAAGAGGAATACGAAGAGTGGCAAGAAGCATCGGTGCAAATGCAAGTTTGGCTTGAAGATTTTGACTGAGCATGTGGCTACCATGGATTCGCGGCTTGCCAGTGTGGAACGGAAGGTGATTTGAAAAGCATTCGGAAGTTCTTGCGTCGTCTAGTTAAGATGCATACTCTATTAATGCTTTCTATATCTCAATTAGATGTGCTTTGACATTATGCTTGCTGCATATAGGGTCTACCAGTTGATACTTCGGTTCTTCGAAAAAACATTTGTGGAGATGGAGATGGCACCAGTGACGGAGATTTGCTCGACGTCCAATCACAACGTCCAGTAACTACAGTTTGAATTAGTGACTATATTGTTTTACAGTACCAAGTCTTCAATGACTTTTTGGACACGGAATTAGATGAGCTCCTTGATGACCAGTCACAATTCCCAGAGAGCTCATTCGACGTGGCACATGATTATTCAGAGGACGTGCGTGTTCTATCCCAACCATTTTACCCTCATCCACCTCGTCAGGGGGAACGAAAGAGGAAAACGTCGTGGAAGCTTCGTGGGTCCTTCGAAGTTAAGGTTGGAGGTAAACGAAAGGTCATGGTTTACAATCTCGAAGGAACAAGACTCCAAATTTCAGAATTGGCTGGATGATGCCACTAACCCACGATCAAAGTGGAAGACATGCTACACAAAACGAGGCAAACAATGGTTTCGAGATATTCTAACACCACAAAAAATGGTGTTTGTGCGAGGTACGACTGCTTTCCATATATACCTGAAATTGGTTATATTAGTGGTGTTCGTACCTTCACTTCCAACCGAAATTAAATATATTGTTGGTTTTCACAGGTAGTCGATTCGTTGGTCATGTTCGTGCGTAAGAAGCTCGAATTGCGACCGGATTTATGTCGTTGCAAGTTCACCACCGGTGATCAAGTACTTGCGATACGTTTTATTAGTCTAACAGCTTTATTAAAGGCCGTGGTGTTGAAAATTCTAGGTCGTGGTGTTGAATGTCCACGACCTTCGTTTATTTGAATCATGACCACAATCGTGATCGAGAAACTCACAACCATGAAATTTTCCAGAAAGTGACTATTCAACCCTAAGTATGATCACGAGTGTGTTTAGATATATTTTGACCTAGTTAGTCTGCAGAGTAATGAAAAATATATCAAGTGGTTCGGTTGAATAATAGAAAAGTGAATAAGAGTACAACGTTTTCCAAAATCCAGATAATAGTGCAGCTAATGTTTTACATGTCTCCATCTGTAGTTCTTAGTGGTTGGTGGCATGTTTTTCTATTATGTCCCATGTTGCCACACCGATCGCATTTTTGGACTTGGCGGGTCTCCCCAACAGATGGAATTCGTACAGTTCGACGTCGCCCAACACGCGAAACAAATTTGGGCGGCTTCACCTTAAGGTCGACGAAGTCATCAAGTAAAATCCAATCCTCCTCATCGTCGAGATAGTACACAAGTTCGACATATACGTTAATGAGAGTTTGGAGAGTATATGCAGATGAGCATAGTATGTACATGTTCTCGTTCTGATAGGTGGTCGCTGCAATAGCGTGGGAGTAAGGAAACTGGAAGTAGTCAAACTCTTTACATCCACATGTTCTTGCATTTAAATTCACACGCACCTTTTTTAGTCCATCGTTCACCTCCAACTCATAGTGGTCAATGGGTGTGATGGAGTGAGTACGAGAGAGGTTCTCTGCAGTACTCATCTTATTCTCACCGTAGTAAGTAAGAATGGTTTCGCGACTGGATGCGTAGGTTTGCCTTTCGTAAAACCAGCATTGTAAGAGCGCACGAGCATGTTCAAGAAGTGCAGTGACTGGCAGATAATGTGCATGGACGAGGACTACATTCATAGACTCTGCAATATTAGATGTCATTTGGTCATACCTCAAACCCAGTTGAAATGTACAAGTCCATCTTCAAAACCGATTCCTTCCAAGTATCTTTGGACTTCTAGAAATCCTGCTAGTTGGGAAAAATAGTACCTGAACTATGATTTTCGACAGACCTTTGCTGTTAATATGAACATTTCTTGTATGGCATCGTCCTTGAAATTGTCCTTAAGGTTCGTGGACAAATGCTGCATGCACATTCCGTGAGTCGCTTGAGGAAAGACCTACTTAACAAATTTCGTAATGGCAACATGTCGATCAGATACGAATAATAACTCATCAACCTCTCCAATACAAATCTTGACCATATTCAAAAACCAAGTCTAGGATTGATCACTCTCCTGATCGACAATTTCAAACGCAAGAAGATATATTTGATTGTTGCCATCAACAGAAGAAGCAATAAAAATAACACATTTATATTTACCCTTGAGATGTGCACCATCTATCACGAGCACTGGGCGGATACAACTGGAGAACCTTCTAATACAGCAATCGAGGGCCATGAACGCGTACTTAAAATACTTATCTTCCTCCAGCTCCACTTCAAAAACAGTGCTTGCGTTAACAACCTTAAAATGCTTTACCATAAGCAAATTCAAGGCAACATTTCTGTCCCGCCATGCCTTTTCATATCTAATGTTCACCCCATAGTTCTTTCGCATGTCGTTAATAATGTCCTTAGGTCTGTACTGACGGCTGACATCCTCCAGATTGGACTTCAATAACTAACCAATCACCCAACTCCGAGCTTGCCTGTGGTCATGGTTCAGTATTTCACATTTGCACTTGTGAACATCATTAAATTTCGAAATGATGAATGAGTCACCACCTCGGATACTCTTTGCACGCAAACTCCATTTTCAACCTTGTTCGGTACATCCAACGGTGTACAATGTCTTCGTCGATTTTTTAACCTTAAATTTGAAATTAAGCTTTATAGCTAACACAGACAGCTTGAAGCGTAGTTCTTCCTTCAAACGGAAAATACCCTTAAGAGCAATTTCACCTACATAGTCAGACTCATTGACAATTATGATATTTTGCATCGGACGTGAAACGACTATTCTCACTCACTGTATGGGACCCATGAACATGTTGACCTTCATTCTCATAATGGTTTTCAAACACATCCTCGGTATGATATTCATCATCCTCCCCATTGTCATACTCGTTCCCACCAGTGTTCTCAACCCCATCCTCGGTATGATATTCGTCATAATCATACTCATCATCGCTCCGAAATTCGTACTCAACCTCATTCTCGTACAATTGACCATAATATGAAGATTCGTCGCCGTCTAGGTTACATGGGACAACGTTACCGATCAATGGTGTAATCTGTGGGACAAATGAGGGGAGACCGACATCGTCCAGAGGAGAATCAATAGAAATAGAATGGCCGAAACATGGATCATTCTATCCTGGGTATTATGGGAATGAAGACGATGCATGAGTTTCGAAAAAATTATTTCCTCTCCTGCTCCCACTACTATATGATGCTTTAGGTACGACGGTTATGTACAAGGGTACTTGTGATGGATCGGGAGGGCCATTCAAATAGAATCTCAAACTGGTATCATCAAATATCAGATTGTTCGGGACTTCGTAGTGAAAATCAAATCTATATACACACTCTACAACAAGATCAAATTGGTCAGGGATCAATTCTAGTAAGCATGTGCAAGGCACTTACTAGGTTGACATATGTTATCGTTTCATCAACATCTAGCCCACCCATGACGCCACCTTCGTAAATTGTACCAGCCTCGTTCCACTTGTCATCGTAGATCACAAATAGTGGACGCATCCTGCATGGATAATAAGAATAACACATAAGTAATTAGTAATTAAAGTCACCACGGCCGTGATAGTTTAAGACACGACCTATAATATAAAACACAAACACGGCTGGGGGCACACACAACCACAATCGAGGGAACATACTACCACGGCCGTTAATCGAACAATATAGGACCATGGTCGAGGAAAAATGCTACCACAACCATGAATCAAACCATGGTCGGGGGAACATATGCTACCACGACCATGAATTTAACAATAAAGACCACGATCGATGGAACATGCTACCACGGTCATTAATCAAACAATAAAGGACCACGATCGAGGGAACATGCTACCACGACCGTGAATCAAACAACCACGGCCGAGGTAACCTACAACCATGGTCGCGAATCAAACAAAACGAACCATGGCTGTGAGGCGATCAAGGGTATCTGTATGCAACCACGGTCGAAATCACCTAATACCACGACCGTTAATCATACAAACATTGACCACGGCCGTTAAACGAGAAACACGATCATGAATCATTGACTTACGGAACTTTTGACCCACAAAAATACACATAAAAGTTCAGAAATTTCTCCACTCTAACCATATACATCATATATTATGAACCAATCAAAAACTAACCTCGTTCAAGATGTCAAAGATGAAAAGTTGTCTTCCTTTAAGGTATTCAAGATGTGAAAATTGTTGGAATAGGTATGGAAGTTTTTGAAAAAAAACGTGAAAGATGTGCATGAGGACAATAAGGGTTGAAACATACTTTTATTCTCTGCAATCTGTGAGAATGTGTGGGTATATATTAAATGATAGTACAAAAATTTGGTGGGGAATTAATAAGTTGGTGGTACTTTAATAAATTCACGGTCATGAATCAAGTCGAACTCGCCCATGGTTTTAATTACACCAACCTACGTGATTCGAACTATTGCCATACCAGATTGGTTGTAGTTTAATTAATTCGGGGGTATATTCGTCATTACATCCTCTCTGAAATGTCATAAAAGTTAAAATTAGGTCAATTGAGTTAATTTTTCTAATTGAGATCAGTTGAGCAAGGTGTAAACTTTTTTAGGTTATCTATACCAATTTCCCTTTTGGTTAAAGGCCACGTGGTCTCCGGATGAGCAGTTCAAAGATGAATCCACCATACCTGAAACCAAAGAACTCGATGCCGATGCGGTGTCCTGCCTAATATACTCCGACGCTCAAGTCAGTAATCAGAGTAAGAATAGGAATAAGACACTAGAGAGTTTAATGATAGGTTTTTCACTTACTTTGTGTGGAGGATCGCCCTTCCTTTTATAGCCCTGAAGGGTCGACCAAGAAGGACGACGGTTGGAAGTGGCAGGGACGTTGCACGCGGTACGGTAGGACAGAGAGGTGCGCATCCCCGATAGTGCAGAATAGCCCCGCTGCCTGCGTCACCTGAGCATGTCGCCCAGGGCCGCGCCGCCAGTTGTGGATACGTATGGGGCGTAACCGTTTGGGGTATTCGTCCTGTCATGAGCAGACACGCCTTCTGCTCGACGACATCTCCACTAAGAATTAGTTCCCAGTGGGCCTATGTCCGCGAAGGGACGAACACGTGTCCTATTCAGAAACTACCCATAACAAATTTAAATCTAAAAGAAAGTTCACATACATCGATGAGAAATATCTACTATATATATATATATATATATATATATATATATATATATATATATATATATAAGGAGTCACACCTTAAAATATATTGAATTATTTTGTAATAGTGATATTTATGTTCCAAACTTGATCATGTGAGAGGTTATAATTAAATATAAAGACAAGAAAACACATGTAAGAAGACAATAAAAGTTTTTAAGAAGATGAATGGAGAAGAAACTTTTCCAAGAGTTGAAAAAAAGAAAGAGCTGGACTAATTGCCATTTCCACCATGTGGCCTTCTTCATCTTCATCTCCATCATCTCTTTCAGTCCCATAAACAACCTTGATATCCACTAGGGTTCCCTTCTCTCCCATGGAAGAAAGCTTGAATGTTGTGGTGAAAGAAGAAAACCCTGCTTTTAATATATTCCCTTCCATCACTTCTACCCCAAATTCATGCTTTGTTTCATCAACTTCCACAATCCTTTCCTTCTGGACACCTGCAAATCATCCTTCTTCTTCAAAACTCTCTCAAATGAAGAAAATATTTAGATTCCGTGGGGAAGACTTATCTTGTATCATCAGCCATTAAATGTTTGACAGTTAAAGGAGAGAACTGCAAAAACAAACCATTTTTTTTAAATCATCTGTCAATTTTTAGATGTCATGGGCAGCATACTTGTTAGGTGTCGATGGTTTTTGATCGAGGTGAGAATGGTTCAGAATGCGATCAAAGTCCTTCATTCATTGACTAAATAAGAGGAAGTTGGATATTATAAATTAGGAATATCATCTCCATGTTAATAGTTAGATCCTGACTGATGAACATCTGATAAGCTATTAAACTATTCGTGAGCAAAAGAGAGAGATAAAAAACAAACAACTTTTCTAAAAAATAATCAGCACCGTCAATTTTTAGATAGTGAACAGCATATAAGTCCTCACCAATCATATCTAAATTTTATTCTTCCAAACGAAAATGGAAGTAGGAATTAAGATGAACTGACCATGGGCAAGATGAAAGAGGAAGATGGAGCCAAGGCCACCATTTCCATGGAGGAGCTCAATCTTTTCAACAGTGTTGGGCATGAAGTTGGGAATTATAAATCTCAAGTCTTCAACCAAAGCTTTCCAAAGGGTTTCAATTCCAACCCCAACTTTTGTTTCAGCTTTTGCCTGCTTAACCATGATGAATTTGCCTGTAAATTTTGTTCCATGGGTTTTGTTTTTGCTCTATATATAGTGAGATGTCTTATTTGGTTTTAGTACAATTGTCGTTTCAGAAACATGCATGGTCTTTGTTTTTATTGTTTCTTATTTGGCAGTGTTGCAGGTGTCTCGTGATTTTAGCATGCAAACTAAATGCATGCATTAATAACACGCAATTAAATAATACAAAGAAATTAAATCAAGAGTATGTTTTCTCATCCTTTCCTTTCCTATTCTTAGTTGGAATCTTCATGACTAACTTCTTTTGGTCAGAATACGGGAGCGTCAGTCGTGATGAGTAAAGAGTGCTTCTCAGTGAGCCCTCCCTAGTTCACCAGCGTGACTCGACTCTCATAGACTTCGTCATTTAATTTTGATTGTTAGATGGTTAAACGTGGTAGAGCTCTTTTGGCCAGTAGATAGCTCTGTTACCACATACAGAGCCACATGTTGATACATGTTTTTTTTGGTCAACAGTTGTGTCCTACATGAACCGGCTGGTAGATGCAAGCGGTGTAGTGTTCGGCCATGTAAACTTCAAGCTTAAATCAACATTACGTCTAAGCTAGTATCGATGTGAGCTTATACGAAATGCAAAAAATGCGTACCTTTTGAAGGTGAGACTCTATCTTTTATATAAGGGGATCATTGGAGTGACAATTTTCTATCGACAATGGGAAGATTCTCTAATAGCAAAATTGTCCTTTCGTCGAATGTCAGTGAATTTTCCTACCGATCAAAATCTTCCCTAGGTCAGAGTCAAGCTAAGCTCTCCCTATAAAGTCACGGGCCCTTCCTCCTTGTCTTTAGAGTGTCTGAGCTTAGGCTCAGCCACAAAGCGAGGATGGTAGACACCATATTTGGTCCAGCCTAATTTTATGTTCTATAAATAAATAAAATTGAAAAAAATATTTATGTCTTTTGTAAAAAATTAAAAAAAATAAAAGATAAAAATAAAATAAAATACTTTAGATAATCCTAGGTTTTGAAATTGGAATTTCAATTTGATTTTAGGCATATTTTGAAAATCACCGAAAACAGTTTTAAAATAGAAAATGAAATATTATAAATACGGGATTTGAAGTTTGAAATTCAAATGATTAAGCTTTTTTAAATTTTAACTAAATTTCATATTGATTCTGGTAAATTTTCAGTTAAGGTCGAATTTTAAAATATGATTTCAACTAGATTTTTGAATTAAAAGGAGATTTTGGTTAAAGATTACAAGATCTAATTTGAATGGATTCTATTGAATACACTCTTTTTCTTCCCTATAATTGAGTCGTCGAACAAGAGGGTACATCTATATAGTATCGGTTCATTTATGTACGTCTCATCTCTATTGGAATATCACATGCCTAATAGGTTCTACTTATTCGTCCTTGAACACATGTCCGAAATTTGAACAACATTACATATAAATTTATCCCTTCTCATCGTCTGTAAATATGGCAAAATTTCAAAATAACAGCGCTCTCCCAAGTGAGCTATGTCCACTTTGTTGCCAAGTATTGAATAAGTAAATTACATAATAAAAACTAGAAAATTAAGAAGCGCCATTTCTGGAATTAAACTGGATTTAGCAGTCACACTGTTGCTTTTTTATCTAAAAACTTTTTTAACTTTCTAAAGATCTTAGTAATCAGATTCACCGTCGTGTTTAACTACAGATATTATCTCCGAATTCCAACCTCATTTTGTTTCTGTACATGGAATGGACCAACAAGAGCCACTGGATAACGAGGCAGCCGTATACGGAACAGCAAAGAAATACGCCCACCTCACTCTCACACCAGATAATCCACCATGAATTTCTTCTGGAGAGACAATTGGGTTCCGGGGTAATCCGCACGAGAGATTAGATTTTGATCAAAACCCATTAAGAAAAAGCTGATTCGTGACATTTCTTTAATTCCCAAATGACAAGTATCATCAGATTCTCTACCTTCAACATCCTGCACGATCATTTCTGCAAGAAGCCCACCAGATTCAGTCCTCTTCCGGCTCGTAAGGTTGGCTTCTGCAATCGTAATGGGTTCCGCTTGAGGGCTTACGGATGGAGATTGACATTTCTGGGCGGGAGTTGTGGTAACGAAGGGATTTTTGGAAAGGATTTAGGGTTTAAGGGAAGGAGAGGGTTAATTGTGGCAAGGTTTAATCAGGGTTTTGGGTTTAACGGTGGCGGCGGTGGTGGCGGTGGAGACGATGGGGCAACCGCAAGGATTTTGGGTAATATTGCTTTGGCTGTTGGGTTAACTTATCTTTCGGTAACAGGGCAGCTTGGCTGGGTTTTGGATGCCATTGTTTCCATTTGGGTATGTATTTCTATTTTGCTTCTTAAGTATCTCATGAATGAGTTATTTCTATTTGGAAAATGGAGTCGAATATGATTGATTTGCTGCATCTTGTATTGTGCTGTTCTGATTTTACTGATTCTTAGGATTACCCTGCTTTCTAACGTGCTTCTAGAGCCCCCTTATGAACTGAGAGCATTTGAATGGTGATATAATCCCTGTTCAATGTTCATGTGGCCGTTCCTCTCAAGAAGGAACTTATAGCAATGTTTGGAAGTGCTCATGGATGATTCCGAATTGGGATTCCCCTTCTCTTCTCAAAGAAATATCTGCGAGGTTTTTCATTTTCTTGAGGTTTTCCAATGTTTTCTTGGTTTCTAGTAGGGGTTGTCGAGTCGTGTATGATGGAAGAGGTGCTTTCACACCCTCCGTTTTCGTATTAGAGGGCGGTCTCTTTAGCTGAGGGTGTTCTCCGCTATCATTTTTGGCTTGAGAAAAATAGGAGAACTTTTGGTACTTTGGGAAGAGTTTTGGAGGGTGGCTGACTTCAATGCCTCCTTTTAGGTGTTTACTATGAAATTCTTTTGTAATTGATCATTTATCTTTGATCCTTGAGAAGTCTCTTAGTGTAATTTTGTTTTAGCTTTTGGGCTCTGTTAACCTCAAACTTGAGAAAGAGATTGCAGATGAATTTTTCTTTTTCTTCTGTGAGCTTTGGTTTGATCTGATAAGATATGTCTGTTCAGCTTGTTGCAGTTCTCGTACCAATTGTCGGAGTGGCCGCTTTTATCTGGTGGGCGGGACGAGATATAGTCCAAGGCACTGTATGGCTTGCTATATTTTGCCTTTTCAATCTAAAATCTTGAGCTTATGCAACTTCATATCAACAGCATTTGCTGGATCAGTTTTCCAAGTACATTAGTTTACACTTCATATTTTGCATTTGCAGTGCCCTAACTGTGGAAATGATTTTCAAATATTCAAGTAAGAGCTCATAAAAGAACTCATCTAAGTTCGACCTTGTTCATCGAGGTTTCTCAATCGTTTCATCCTATTTTTCGGTTTGGATTGGTAGCTGATGTACACACTTGACTTTCTTTCATTTTGCAGATCAACTCTCAATGAAGAGCTGCAACTGTGCCCTTTCTGTAGCCAACCTTTCTCTGGTAAACCCCAAGTTCTTAAATATCCTAAATATAAAGTTCCTAAATTCTTATCTTTTTCAAAACCGTTGCGTCGATTATCAACTCACAGCCGTATGGTTCATAAGCAATTCTTGCAGACCGTTTACTTCCTTTGGTTTATAAACTATTTTTAGCATTTCCTAATCTGTTTACCATGGTTAATCATCATGGGATGGCTCAAGTCAATGAGGGCCAATGTAAATAGCAAAAGACTTACCGGGAATAAGTTCAAATCATGGTGGTCACTACCTAGGATTTAATATCCTACGAGTTTCCTTGTTAACCAAATGTAGTAGGGTCAGGCGGTCAAAAAAAAAAAATGTTTATCATGATTCAGTTTGTTTCTTTTTTCATTCTTTTCCTTCTAGAACATTGAATACTTGCTTCGAGTGGAACTCTAATTCATTTGTGTCTATTAATTCTTCCTCTTCTAATTCAGTGGTAGATGACAAGTTTGTGAGGGATTCTGTGAAGTTCTCCAACAAAACTTCTTCCACCTTTGGACAGGCTTTCAGTAACTTCACTTCTCCTAAAAAAGGTAATCGTGGCTGGAATCCCGCTCGACATGAAATATTTAGTAGTTTCATAACTACTACACTTCACTGGTCGTGTTCTTGTATCTCATTTTTAAGAAACATTGTATGCAAATCTAAAAGTAAAACTAAATTCTGGTCTGGTTTCCAACTTTTCAAATACATAAATGAAAATATTCTTTTATCATTTTCAACTAATAAAATGCATAATATATATTTGTTTAAATCTTGTGATTGTAGGGAAGGAAACCTCTGCAGCAGTGGTTGACATAGAAGCAGAAGTAAAAGATGTAGACTGAAGTCTACCGAGTTACTGGCCGTTTCACTCTGGTTCGTGATTTCGACTTCGTCGACCGAGTCTATTCGGGTGGAAATTATTAATCTAAGTTTTAGAATATGAATAGAAGCATTTCAATGTCATTTCTTGTCTAAATTTCAGGAAGCATACCTCAGAAGGCCAACTAATATTGGGAAGAATCAGTTGGTTCAATTGGCTTTGCCAGTTTAAAGTAAGTTTTGACACTGCAAATCTTTGTATATTTGTGTTATCTTTCATAGCCAGAAATTTCCAATTCTGAAACAACTGTGCCTCCACTTTGCATACCTTTTTTTTTTATATATACAAATATGTCTTATGTACAATCTTTACTCTGTAACTTATCAAGACTAATGGACTAGAACATGAACTACTCTACTTGTTTTCCTCCACATATCGGAAAAGAGACGATTCTGGATTGTTTTATTTTTAGATACTTCCAGGAATGGTCTCGAAAACTTGAGAGATTAGCGTGCTCCACCTCCAACTTTCTGCAGGAGAGAACAGAGGCAAGTTAGAGCGCCCATGTGTATGGCATTTAGCAGTAATCTGAAAAATAGAACACCATTGATGTTGTCGGAACAGAACACATTTTCTGCAAACATGTTGGAACTTTACCGATCTTCATCGCGTAGCTAGTAGCTCCTAAAGCTAATAATCACATCCAATCAATGTTGATCTCAATATCCAATTATCCATAAAGAAGCCATACCTCTTCCTTCTTGCCTCTGGTGAAGAACTCGTAGCCCCCATAAAGAACTAAACCCCCTCCAGTCAAAGACACAGTCACAAACTGGAAAATGTACATATATCTTTAGTAAGATGTGCAGTGATTCTCAAAGACAATGCAAGTATTCTCCATGTGTCTAATAATTATTTCGAAAATATTTCGAACGGCTGATTAATATCTTTAACATGTATTTGGTGACACGTGGTGAAACAAGTGTTAGAGTGTCCGACACGTGTTAGACATGCAAACTAAACAGTTCGTGCTTCGTAGAAAGATACGAATTAATCAGAGTTCAAGTGACATGAGTAGAATGAGTAACTAGCATTTGAAATTTAAACAGGGACGGATGATACTCAATTTCAAAAACTAAAAAAATGCTCACATGTTCTCTTTTCCATTTGGTTGGATTAAGAGGATCCTCCCAAAAGTTCACCTTCGGGGATCCATGATGTTCTGCAAGATTACAAAAGCAGAACAAGCAAATTACTCGCAGATTCAATTCAAGTTCATCAATTACTTCACCACGAGAGTTTGATAACCAGATATGGCCAACATTTAAACATGATGAATCAGAAGTTCATGAAGCTGCTTGAATTTAGAAAAACTCATTCCGAGTTTGAATTCACAAAAATGAATAGGTTATAAAAATCAGTTTATGTAACTTGTGTTAAATTCATAATATGGGATAAACATAGCAATCTCAGATACTATTGTAAACTTCGAATTACACGAGTCTAATTAGTGAGCGAATCATCCCTAAATGATCCAGTTTAGGCGCGAATTGCTCATCAGTTAGGGAAGGAGTAACGAGATAAGAAACAAACTATGAACATAGAAAGAGCGGGAGGAAATACCGCCACCGCCGGCGAGACCGCGGTTTAGGGTTAGAGAGGCGATTTGAGGCGTAGAAACTGATTTGTGAGAGGAAACCATACGGCGAGCCGCGGCCGTCCACACCGCCATAGTTCGGTGCTCTGCTCTTCGAGATTGTGCCCACAGAAGAGAGGACGGAAGCTTCCAGCGTCCAATATTCAGAAATTTGGTTGTATTTATAGGTTTACGATCTTCATTTTGTTTTTTAAAGTATTTATTTTCTGTTTTTTACCACCGACAACTAATTAATTTTTATAAACCGTTTCTATTTTGCATTTCTCTCAATATTTAACGGCTGCGAGCCAAGTATTTCAATTCTGATTCAGGGAAAAACAAAATAAGAAAAGAAAAAGTACTTTTTGAAAATTAAATATGGCCTACATTTTAAAAATGTTTATGAAAATTATATAATAAAACAAATAAAAGTATAGGTGAAAGTAATCTTTCTAAATCAAATTTTAAAATAGACTGTTTTTAGTTTTTAATTTTTAAAATTTTAACTTATAGAGACACTATAGCTATCCTCTATATATWTTTTTTTTGGTTTGTTATTTACCTTTTAAAACTGTTTTCAAAATTTGTTTATCCTTAAGAATGATAAGTAACATGGCAAAAAATTTGAGGAATAAAAAGGCATAAATTTTTAAAATAAAAATGTTATCCAATGGTGCCTAAATAACTTTCTTAATTGATTCCTTCCAAAGTTTATTGTCAATATCTCAATTTCTGGAGATGTCAATGAAAATATAGACAAAATACCAATCTAATGGATATTTTTAGAAAAAATATAAAATCTAAAAATTAGGGGATTTAGACAGTTAGTTAAAGTCAAATTGGGTAGTTGATTTTTTTTTTTTTATAGAAACGTTGATTAATATTTTGATTGATTATATGATGAATAGATATCCTTATCCAAATTTATCAAATCAAATGTCTGAATTTTAAAGCGAATTTACATGATTTTTTATGGGCCACTGAAGTTTGTCATGCGTCTTTGGATAAAGTTTTAAAATAATGTAAATAAAATAAAATAAAAATTTTAAGTAAGGTAGATTTAAAAAAAAAAATCCTAAAAAAATTGCAGTTTATACCCAGTTATCCTACTTATAAATTTTAATAGGTAACATTATTTAAATTTGTTTAAAAAAGAAAATAATTTCAATATAATATTTGTACTAAAAAAGAAAAGAAAAAAAATGATATAATAGAGACTTGAACTCAGGACCTTCAAACTAAAAAGTAGGGTAACCATCACTGTACCAAAGTGATAATTTTATACCACTTAGGTATAAGAGACGACATGCTAGAATTAGAAAAAAAAAACGCACACACATGACGCCATGCAACTCAAAAACCATGAAGTGGCATAGGTCGAGACAACCTATAATTTTCCAAACCTTATTCCTAGAAATAGTTTAGAGGTGGATATATATTTGGAATAAGTTTGAATTAAAACATTATTAAAATAAAAAATCCATTCACTATTTGTCACCATATTTTTGTTACTAGTTTCAAAACTACATCAAATTTTATTTTTTAAGAAAATATATTTTTTTTTAAAAAAAAATCCCCATCCTTCTTAGGTAGTAGCAAAGCAATTAATAACATAGATTTGGTAAACATAAATTTGGTAGATGCTCAAAATTGGTCACTCATATCTGCATTTATCGTCCTATCAAGACCCAAGTTACAAATTCTATTCATCTCTTTTCTATTGCGCCTTTTTTTTTCTCTTTTTTTTTTCTCTTTTTCTTCTGAAGTACAAGTAGGGTGAGAAAATTCGAACCCATCGAGAGAGAAGTGTTAATTAAGCTATGTTGGCTATTCTTATTTTATAATCCTGAGTAACTTTTTCTATTTGTTAAAAAGGATAGCAGCAAATTACACACTAATTCTCGTGCACAATGTTAAATCATATTTCCGAGTCTCAAAATAGTTAGTTTGACACCAATGTGACATATTTTATCTCATATACCGATGTTTTAAGAGAACAGGCGAGGGATTTGTATGCAACTTGCTAAGAACACCATCCATGTAAATATTGGATGAATAGCTTTAGACATGATCAAAAGTATCAAGCTAACTTTTACATCAAACAACTCTATCTACAGCTTACATACCTTTCTCAAGAAAGGCATCCATTATTCTTGCTTTGCTACAACGGCGATGAACCCGATTCTCTACAGTCGAGAACGGATGAAGATCCTTTTCTTGTCATTTTGCACTGTATTGGCCGATCCTTTGGCGCCTTCTCCTGGAAACTTCTTCAGAGGTTCAGAGCCATAAACGATATTTGCAGATGTACAATGGTGTTGCTTCATTTTATTCTTGCGTTCCTCTGCTTCCTCCATCTCTGCCTGCATCTTCTTATCCATCACTAGTTTAAGCTCTTCTGGTTTTTTATCATTTAAAGAGGATGAATGGGGTATATCCTTCAATCCTCCCTGCCAAATAATCTTATGCACTTTATTCTTACCTACATCACTCAAGCACGAGAAGAACCCGAAAATGAGAAACAAAAACTCAGGATTCTGTAAGCAGAAGTTACATAAACAACCAGGAGGTTGATCATTTCAGCCAGGAAAATATTGCAATGCAAAGACATGAAAGAAAGCAGATAAACAGTACAAAACTAATGTTTTTTCTCTGTTTTAATGAGTACATTGTCTTTTAGACAGAACCAACTAAAAGGGCAGCAACTTATCAACATATAGGGGTGTAAGCAGGTTGATTTGGGTTTATTCTTGTCCAAAACCAACGTCGAACCATCCCCGTCAGTACAAGAAGAATTAAAAAATCGAAATTCTTGCACATAATCTAAAACTTGCATAATGAGCTACCAGAAGATCTCATGCTTTTTTACACTCCCATTGCATATCAGAATCCAACATAAATACCTAACCTAGAACTTGCATAATAAAAACCTTCGACATTTGGGTGTCTGTACAAAGGAAAAACTGAATCGATAAAAGGGGAATTCAAAACTTGATGCTTGTCTTGGAGCTGCTGGACGAAAAGTTAGCATTCGGGCCAAGCAAAATTCAAATGCTTAATTTGATTTATAAAATAATGATACTTAACATATGCTGATGCAATATGCAAACTTCAATTTTCTTCCACCAATATTCCTAATCGAATACAAAAGAAACATACTCTCAAATGCATCGATTTCCCATGGTGCAGCGGGGAGGGAAGGAATCCAATCTTTCAGAAGAAAATTTGAAGATCTATACAAAATATTAGGGCTATTGAAGACGATGCTGGATCATAACCAGTATGCATTGGGGATCAGGGTTCGTAAATACTCATAGGGTTTTCGACGTAAATGAAAAATTGAAATCATAAAAAGCTTCGTAAATGATCTGTGGGTGTGTGTATGTGAGGAAGAGAGAGGAAAAGCGAACCGGTGGCGGCCATGAGAGAGTTAAAGATGGTGGAGTCCACGGCGAACTTGCCAACACCGGTGAGAAATTGGATGATCTTCATCCGCAGGTCAGGGTGGTGGAAGCCGTCTTTCAGAGTACGACTACGGCGGTGTCCGGCGACGTCAGCCATTTATCAACCGGGGGCGGGCAGAAATATCGGGCTCCGATCGTCCGTTCGGGAACTACTAAGGCGGTGGCCGGTCGTAGTAACTAGTAAGTATATCACGAAAATGCAAATCGAAGAACCATTCGTTTAGGCCACGTGGCACGATTTGATGCGTTAAGTTTACCAAAAAAAAAAAAGAAGAGAGATATTTAGAAAAGCAATTAGATAAAAATAACAGTTCTTTTTATGCTTATTCAGTTTTATCACGGTTGAAAGGAAGTATATTAGAGTTAATAGCCCAACTCTTAAAAGGACGCTGCAACTCAGTCATAAGTTTGAATCTCTACTTTTGCATATATTTTATATTTAACATTGTTCGATTATCTATGTAAATTTGAACTTTTAAACTTTTGTTGTTAATTTGTTGAAAGTATTTTTATCTCGAAATCAAAAATTAAAATAAAAAGGTACAATTTTGATCTTAAAGATTGGTCTATTTTGCATTTTGGTTAGTGGGCGAGGTCTCAAAGAATTGTCTTGAAAGTTTAAGAAATAAAATAGAATAAGTATAAAATTTTATTAGCCAAAATATAGTTTAAACAACAAATTTATAAATGTCAACGTGAGCCTAACTAAAGTGGTTAGAATATGTATGTTTTTTAATTTTAAGATTTGTGCCTAATAGGTTTGTAAAAACTTTAAAAAATATCTAATAGATCTCTAAATTTTCAATATTGTGTCTAATAGATCGATGAACTTTTCCATCCTTTTCAAATTCACCAACTTACAAAACACTTAATTGAAAGTTCAAGATTCTAATAGATAAAAAAAAATTCAATTTTATGTCGGATGGATTCATTAATTTTAAACATGTTGAATATGTCACGAACTTATTTAACATAAAATTAAAAGTCCAATAACCTATTAGATACATTTTAAAGTTTAAAATGTATTAGACACAGATCTAAAGATTCATAAATTAAACTTGTCATTTAATCTAAAATAAAATATTTTAGTTAAAAATAATTTGAAACTAACAAAAGAAACATATACATTATCATTATTAATTATTATTATTATTTGGTTTAGATTTTATTTTGGTCTTCTGAACTTAAACATTAACTTTCTTTTTATTCCATTTTGGGTAAATTACACAACCCACCCCTAAAGTATGGTAGTTGTTGCAATTATACCCCTAAACTTTCAATGGTAAAAAATAAACCCTCAAACTTTGATAAGTGAAAAAATTGAACCCTTCAATATTGAGTTGTAGAAAATAAACCATCAAATTTTCATAAGTGGTGAAATTGCACCCGTAAATATTTTTAATAGTAAAAATAAAGCCCTTAAACTTTAAAAAAAATACATCTATTTTAGTCTGTTTCTCTCCATAAACCCTTTAAATGAGTATTAGAGGGAAAATCAAAACTAAATATTGAAATCCAGATTGTGTTTAACACAAATTCTCTTAACGAATACTGAAGTATAGGAATACCCATAAAATTTCACCTCTTCAATTGAGAAACAGATTCGGTTTACCCCAACATTTGTCTCACCCACTCTCTTTGTAATTTTTTACTTGTGTAATTGAAAACGTTGAGGGTTTATGATTTTGTTTTCCTGGAATTTTGTTGCACTCCCAAGAAAACAAAATTCTTAATACTTCGCCATTGAATCAATCTCTATTGTGATTATCTCCCAACTTACAAGTTTTCCACAATTTCCATTTCTACCAGATTAAATGACAAAAATCAATTATGGGAGACTGAGAGAGAAAATAGAGATTTGAAGGAAATAAGAGTAAAACAGATGTATTTTTTTTTTGTAAGTTTAAGGGTGCAATTTTATCATTCATAAAAGTTTGAGGGTTTATTTTTTACTGCTAAATGTTCCAGGTTCAATTTTTTCACTTATCAAAGTTTGAGGGTTTAATTTTTACAATTAAAAGTTTAGGGGTATAATTGCAACCACCATAATTTAGGGGTGATTTGTGCAATTTACCCTCCATTTTTGTCCAAGAACTTTTAAATGGCTACTTTTGGTTGTTAGGATTTTAAAGAATAATTATTTTAGCTCTCATCTTTATTTTATTTTTAACAAATTAATAATATAGTTTTGAGTATGTATACCGACATGTTAATACCAACGTACATGCAAACTATAATAGTTTAAGCATATTGGATAAGTAAATATTAGATAGTGAGATAATATAGAAAGAATAAAATAATTATTTTTTAAAAAAAAATTAAAGAACTAAAATGGACATCATAAAATTATAAGGGTCAAAATAAATTAATACTTCAAAGTTCGAGGGTTAAAATAGATATTTTGAGAATTCAATAACCAAAATAAAACAAACTTAAAAGTTCAGGTACCAAGATGAGATGAGAGGTAAAGCTCCACTTATTATTGTATTATTTTGGAATAGAAAAAGAATAAAACACAAAAAGAAATAAAAGTTGAAATTACCAACACACCCATGTTTGAAAAAACCAAGAGAAGAAATTACAAGTATTTGCAAATGCTGAAGATAAATAGATGTTGGTTTGAGATGTTTAGTTTAGAGACTATTTATTTGGAGTTGGAAATCCCAAAAGTTGAAAGCAAAAGAAAGACCTTTCTCTTTCAATTCTTCCAAATCCCCAACTCTTGGCTGAATCCATGCCAAATTGGCAATGGCCTTGTTTTCTTCAACACTCCCCCCTTCTAAGAATACTCCCATTATTTTCCCATCTTTGATCCAATAACACCCAAATTTTCGCTCTTTCGCTGCTCCCCGATTTCTGTCTCCGAACAGCACCGACGTTTCCCCGACGTTGTCGCCATAAAACTGCCACGAGAGGTCGAAAGCTCGCGAGTAGAAGTAGGGAAGGTAGTCATATTCTTCAACAACCTTCTGATCCTGTGCTATGATCACCTCCACAGCTTTCACTGCTGATTTTCTTGCATGATCAACATGCTCAACTCTTCTCATCTCTTTGTAAATCTTCATTGGGAAACAAGCTACGTCGCCTATCGCATACACATCGTCGATGCTTGTTTTGAAGAACCCGTCCGTCTTGATCCCTCCTCTGTCCATCTCAATCTGCCCCTTGAATAGCTCTGTCACAGGTCTTGCTCCAACCCCAACTACAACAATGTCAGCTTCTAGCTCCATCCCATTTTTGAGCTTCACCCTCTTTACCTCTCCGTTTGAATCAGCCTCGAGCTCGATTACCGACGTTCTTTTGATGATTTTGATCCTTTTCGACTCGTAGTACGCCTCGTAGAATTCGGCTATCTCTTTCGTGAACAGCCGGGGCAGGCACCACGCCTCAGGATACACCATTGTGACACTCAAATTGTTGAGCCTAATGGCTGCTGCAACTTCAAGTCCAATGTATCCACCTCCAACTATCACTGCTTTCCCTTTTCTTTTTGCTTTCATTGCTTCAACAATTTTCTCAGCATCATTCAAATCTCTAAAATACAACACATTCTTGGATTCATCCCCTTTTACACCAAAATCCCCAAGTCTGATCCCAGCTGAGCCAGTTGCAATTACCAAAGTCTCAAACTTGAAAATTCTCCCATCTTCACTTGTGAGAGTTTTTGAAGCAAGGGCTGCCTTTACTATCTTTGTGTTGAGGATCAATTCCACCCCTTTCTCCTCATACCAACTGGGATCCAATCTCTCCCCTCCACTCCCTACACACACATGGAACTGTGGAAGCCTCGCCGCGTTCTTTGGAAACAGATATCCCTTGCTGAGCGCGGGACGCTCGTATGGTGCCACGGACTCGCCCGAGATGATCCCAAGCTCGCCTGGGTTCACGCCTTTTCTTACAAACTCCCTGGCTGCATATCCTGCTGCCACTCCCCCTCCAAGAATCACATATTTGAAGTTTTTGCCTAAGTAGATGTTCCCTTCTTCGAGCAACTCTTTTGCCTCATTGATCTTCTCTCCAACTAGCCTTCCATAAAGATAAACAGAAACCGAGAGGCCCTGCCAGTTTCTTACTGATCTTTCGATGTCTTCGACTTCATCGATCAATATGTCTACTTTCTTCTGCCATTTGTCGTTGCTTCCTTTCGAAGAACTTTGTTCGGTTTTTTCTAATTGGGTGTTTAGATCTCTTGATAGATTTTTTAGGAGTAGCAAGTTTTGTTGAAAGTTTCTGTAGTAGTTCAAACTTTTGTCAACTCTGCTCCAAATGCTTGCCAGTTTTGAACTAATGAACTGCCCCATATTCCTCTCTCCCTACAATAATGTGCAAGAGAGACGCTTCTCTTTGGTTGAGTTCAAACTTCTCAATTGACTTAATAAAATTTAATCAAGAAGATATTAAAGGATCAAATTTGTGATTTAATGAGGTAGGATTTATGATTGATACTTTTATCTTCTTATTTAATCTACTTGTTATAGATGTCACAAACAAATCTAATATTTCATCGTGTATAGGCATGACTCGTGAGGGACTGTGTTGAAAATTACAATTTAAAAGATTATATTTACTCTAATCCGAGACTTTGATTTCTTTTGGTATTAGAGAGATTTAACAATAATCATGATTATTTTCAGTCAACGTAAGCATAGTTGGGTGGTAATTGACATTTATTTCTTCTCTTGAGGTTGGAGAGTTTTTCCTCCCTCAAATTTATTGTACTAAAAAATAAAAAATCACGATTTCAAAAAATTAACCATAGATGAGGGATTCAACCTCTACTTTCAAAGGAGGAACAACATATCTTAACCGTACGGTTTGAAAGATTTGATTTTTAGCTATAATATATTAAATATTACTAATTTTAAGTTATAATTCTTTTTAGTACACTTTTAAGTTACAATTGATATTAGATAATTTATTAACATTCATTTATTCACTTATATCAAATTAATTGATTAAAAAAATAAAACTCTCACTCACAAATAAACAAAGACGTTTAATTCTCAAACATTGATTGTTCCTGCATATCCCAAACATAAATATTTAATACTCCAGACATTTAAACTATCCCAAATATTGATCTCAGATATTTAATATCCATCCATACCCATGAAACAAGACCTACAATCCAAGAAGTCATCAGAACATTTATTATCAAAAAAAAAAATTACTAAATTTATCATAGTATGTCAACTTAAGTTTCCAAGAGTTAACGGTGACTTAGATATCAAAGTTTTAAATAACAACAAAAAAAAAATTATCTCTATAAACTTGCTTTTTAAATTTGAATTATACTTTTGGGTATCGTTCGAACTAACATGGAACACGGAGTAATTTAGGAAAAGAAAGAGTAGGAAAACAACAGTACCTGTGTTTTGACTTGAAGATTAAAAAGTTTGCAGAAGAGAGAGGCAAGAAAATGTGTGATTTTATTGAGAGGAAAAAATACAGTACACAACATCTGATGACATAAACTTTGCCTCTTTTTATAAGCTAAGACAATTAAGTGAAAGAGGAATAAAAGATGAAGAAAGGTATCAAAATGAATTGTGAAGAAGGAAAGAATGTAGTTGGTAACAGCTAAAGAAGCAGGTGCTCATCCTTTATTTCTAGCTAGAGATTTTTTTATTTATTTTCCTTCAACAGAAATTTTCATGTATAATAATGTAGCAAAGCCATGGGCCCATGACAATGGCATGTTGATTAAAGAAGGGGAAAAAAAGGAACATTCTTCCATGGTTTTGTAAAATGTGATGGTTTTGTCAAGGTTTCGATTTTACATACGGCGATAAAGTTAACCGGTGTGGATAGAAATTTCAAAATGAAATATAGGATGGTATATATCAAATTCCCCTTGACCACCCCACCCTCCCTATCCAATCATAATCACAAAATAAAAAATCTTTTCATAAAACTACAAAATTAAAAAAAAAAAATAGTTGGTTGCTAAACTTTTATGGACATTTGAAATTTGACAGAAATGATTTCAAATTCTAAGATTTCAAAAGATAGAAATGATATTGAATTCTTAATTGCGTCTGAAACCAGATTAATTTGAAATCGTTGAAATTAAAATTTATTGTTTGGATGCTCACGAGAAATGAAAATGTTTAAAATTTTACTGTTATGCCCTTACCATTTTGTGTGATATCATATAAATAAATAATAATAATATAATGTTATAATATGAAATAGTAATCTCAATTAATTTAATAATTTAAAACTTGTCAATTAAATTAAAAAACAAAAAAAACTAATAAATTTCTCTCTTGAAATATATATTTTGTGAATTATTTTAAATCTAAACCTACATTGTAACTGAACAAACTTAGACCACAATCCAACATTATCTTTTCTTTTTTCATTTATTTTCCTTTTTATTTTCATGCTCATTCTTTTGTTTTTCAAAATAATACTTACACTAATAAAATTGTTAAAAAAAAGAGCAAAAAATAGTAAAAAAAAAAAAGTAATGAGAGATTTTAAAGGTAAACTACCGATCTATTTGCAAATTTATTTGGAATTGAATTTTTTTTACCCAAATTAGTGATAAAAATTGAAATAAAAGGAGCAGAACTAATTGAAAACATTACAAAGCAAAACATAAAATTAATTTATATTTTGACTAAAAAGTAATCCTTAAAGATGTAAGGAGAAAGGAGGCAAAAGAGAAAATAGTACGCAATTTGTGTAAAAAAAAAATAAAGGTGGAGTGATTACTGTTTTTAAAAAAATGAAAAATCTATTTTTTATCTATTTTATAGGATAAATTTGGAATTTGCTACTTTTAATTCTAAATCCTTCCAAATCCAACGTATTTGTAACGATTTTTTTTTTTTTTTGACAAACCTTATTTCAAATTCTATTATGATTTTAAATTTCTTCTTTTTCTTTGCTAACCCAACAAGAGAAATGATTTTAAAATCATTGTGATTTGCAAATCCTTGCAAAATAGTTTTTATCGAGAAAAATGACTATTTTATTAAAATGTGTTAGTAAATGACGCGATTTTACTATTTAAGCCATACACTAAGAAGAGAAATCTTGGGGGCACTTGTGGGACAAAAATCAGATTCTTCTCGTGTTCACAAACGCTCATAGTTATCTTCTCCCAAACAATTTTTTCTTTTTTCAATAGAGAAGTTTAGAACTTAAAAGCTGAAGAATTATTTTTTTACGGTGAAAAAAATACACAATAAAGAATTATAATTTTAAAAATCATCAGATTCTTGAAGGGTTGTTTTTATTAAAGATCCACATTAAAAATAATAATAAGAGACTGGACAAGGGGTTATAATATAAGTGGGTTATCTTATTCCTAATTAACTTTTAGATAGAACCACATGAATTACTGATAGATAAATATTTTTTATACTATCTGTTTTGCAAACTAATTATTATAAAAATAAAATTTCTATTGTTTTCAATTTAGAAATCTATTTCTGTAGATATAATTTTTTTATGTATTTCCCCGTATAATTTGAGAATGCAACCCATTTAAATCAAAGTTTACTTCAAAAAAATATATATAAATATCCCTTCTTTTTTTTATTATTCAAGTCGACGGCCTTTGACTTTTTTGTTCCTAAACCTATTAACATTAAAAATACGTGAAAACAATAAAATATTTTCTATTTCTTTTTTTAAAGCTACTTGGTAAAAATCATCCTACTAACCAAATTATATATATCAAAAAATTACATTTCCGTTTCTAAATAAAAAAAGATAAGAAAAAAAAAACTATTTTGAACACTTTTCTAATCTAAATTTGGGGAGATACATTCGTTTCTAAATAAATAAAAAAAAAAAAGATAAAAAAACTACTTTTGAACACTTTATCTAACCTGACCATCATCTCATTATATTTAGTTGAGACACGTATAAGCTCACCTTAAACACACTATATATATACACACACCTACCATTAAATGTGGATATATAAACTAGCTAACTTTTTTTTTATTAAAACAATATCGTCATTTTGACTTCATTCCCATGAAAAAGAAACCTAAAAATTTCCAAATAAAACCACCCTAACACCATTCAAATTCCAACAGAAGAAGCCAAGAAGATGGCTTTCTCCTTCTCTCCCCAAAATGAAACATTCATAGCCATAAAATAACAAACCAAAAAAATAAAAAAACCCATACATATAAAAGAGCGCTTTGCCTTTTGGACCATATGTTTTAAGTTTAATTTTGCGTATAGAGTTAATTTGTTTTAAAATTTCAAATAAAAATCTCACAAATAAGTATTTTTAGGTATATGGAAAAAAGAAGACGTGTGTGTTCAAGAATTTCACAAGGCTTTGTCTCTGTGGGCCTCTTTTGTCGGTTGGCAATCGACAATGACTTTGCTAAACAACATCTCTTCTCTGGTGTGTCGTGTGCGACTCAACTCTAAGTACTTATATTTGGATGGTCATCTCAAATATATGTGTTATTGTTTTGAAAATGGGTTTTTGTTTTTTCTTAATATTCGTACTATTTATTGTGATTAATAATCTATTAAATTTATTGTGTATATTGAAATTACTATCCCTAAATTTCGATCTATTTTGTCTTTAAACATAGATTTATTTGTGAAAACACATGAGAGGAAAAAAAAACTTTTAAAATAACAACCAAATAAATTGCCATGGAGTGAAGACCTAAACTTTTGGCTCCACCAAATATCCATACGGTACAACGTTGAACGTATTGAAATCTTTTAATTTTTCTAAAAACTCGCTAGTAAATTAACTATATTGTTTTGCAATATAAAACTTAGAAATAACTCTCTTAAAGACTAATCATTATGAAAATAACTCTCTTTAATCAAGAAGGTTAAATGAGCATAGCTAAATAGTTTAAACGTGTATATACTTTTCCTAATGTAGAAAATTGGAATTAACATCCCATAAATTGGTTGAATTAAAAAAAAAAAAAGAATTATTAAGTGAAGGACTCATTCAAGTTCACTACAAGAGATAAAGATTTTTTCCTGATGCTTCAAGACATCAGAAAAACTTTAAAATTGTCGGGATTAACTTTTCTTGACAAAATATTTGTGTTCAAATTTTGATATTTAATTTAACCAAAACAAAACTTGAGTCAAAATTAACCCACTCAATTAATTAAAAAAATCTTTTTTTAAAAAAAATTAGAATGATATTTTAAGAATCTGATAAGTATTCCGTTTTTCATTTTTTATCTTTCATAGCCAATTCTTTTTTTTTTTTGTTTTCAAGTGTTTTTGAAATTTTAACTTTCTAAAACACAAACAAGTCGTTTTTTAAAATTCCTTTTGATAAAAAATTTATTCTGACATATTTCTTTCTAACAAATTTCTTTTTTCTTTCTAAAAAATTATCTTTCTCTTTCTAAAAAATTTCTTTCCTCTTTCTAAAAAATTTATCTCTTTCTAAAATTTTTGTTTTAAATATTATTACTTTTATCTCTCCAAAACTTTCATCTTTATACATTTTTATTTCTTTATTTTTTTTCTAATATATACTCTCATTTTTCTCTTTCTAAAATATTTAGTATTTTTTCAAACTTTTCTCTCTCCCAAATTTTGAATTTTATAATTTTTTGTAATATATTTTTTCTATAGTAAATATATCTCCCACTTTTCTTTATGTAATTTTTTTCTATTTCAATTTTCTTCGTGTGTAACTTCTCTCTTTATATTATTATTTTTCTCTAGCAAATATATGTCAGACTTTTCTTTCCCTATCCTTTTTCTATTTTAAATTTCTCTCTTTATATTATTATTTTTCTCTAACAAAATATATATCAGATTTTTTGTTGTCTAAATTTTTTTCTCAATGTAGATTTTTTTGCTCTTTCTAATTTTCTTCCCTTTCTCTAACCTATCTTTTGCTCAACTTCACTTTCTATAAAATTTTCTCTTAAATTGTTACCTTTTCTCTGGCTAAATTTTTTTTATCTTACTTTTTTCTCTAAATGTTTTTATTTTTCCAAATTTACTCTCTCTAAAATTTATCTTAAAAAAATTTCTTTTTTATCCATTTTGAATGATTAATATTTAGTTTTTTAACTTTTTACTAAATTATGAATCAAATATTAAATATCTTTTTAAACTGATTATTTATACTAGTAAATAATAAATTTTCAAAAAAATAGATATAATTTATATATATTTATTACTCTTTTATTTTTTAAATACTAAAAATAATTATTAAATTGATAATTTTTCCAGTGAAAGATCTTCGTCCCAAATAATGATTCTTCGACCTAGACTTCGATTTCAAAATTGAAGAATAGGGTGGAGACGGTGACCAAAATTTTTGCAAGGGGATGAGGAGGGTATCCTCGACTCCTGCCCCACCCCATTGTCATCTCTACTTTACATAAATTTTCTCTATCTAACATATCTCTTCTCAACTTCTAACTTAAAAATAATAATAATAATAATAAATGATTATCGGTTTTATTTTCAATTTTCTAAAAACAAAAATAGAAAACATTACCAAACATGTTAGGAACTCCACATCGAAAAGACGATCAAGAAACTTAATAAATTTTATAATATACATTGTTTATGTAAGGAATTGCACAACGTCAAATTTGATCTAACTAGAATCAGGTCCTTGCTCCGACCTGAAACTCTAAGGGAAGACCTGCACAAGAGGGCAAATTCTCCGATGTTGAAGTCGGTAAGCAATTCGGACTCAATATTAAGTTCGAGGAGAAATTCGATACCTGATGATGAAATGAGACCCTCTATTTATAGGTTTAGGTTACGACAGGCGGTTACCCTGGTTGAATTGGAAATCGGACATGTCGGGTTCAAGCAGGTCGAACTTGGACACATACCAGAAATGATGACTTGATCCTTGGAGAGAATGGCTGAAGTCTTCCACCTCGGAGGGATCCGAGGCAGAACTGTGTGTACAATGTTCTTTGGGTCGCTTCCCAGTAGCGAATTGTTGTCCTCCACGTGGCTATCCGATTTCTTCTCCCAAACATATATAGACTACTCCTGAATAAAATATCTTAATTTTTTTTAGTACTACACATGTGAGCGTGAGAAATCAAAATTACAACTTCTTTATTGGAGATATATGCCAATTAAAACTGAGCTATTCTATATACTAGCTTGGGTCGTCTTAGGTGGCAAAGGGTTTGAACATTTGGATAAGTTTTTGGAGAATATTGTGGTAGGAGTAATTAATGTAGATTCTTTTACAAATTTATTCTAAGAAAAAAAAAGAATAATGTGTGGGAAGGGGAGAAGTCGGTTTGTTGTGAAGCGAAAGCGTGATTGGCACGTGGGAGACCAGGAGGACCCACCACCCAATGGATCGGCCTTCACGTTCCCCTTCCTTCTATTCCTCCGAAATTAACGGTCATATTTTTCAATAAATATAGCCGTTGGGAACTAACTCTCCATCTTTTCAAATATTTAAATATTCCTCTCCCACTACACTACAATGAGATTGTACTTGCACACAAAGAAAAAACTCTAGTTAGATTTTTTTAGAACAAAAAAACTCTAATTAGATTGATTTGTAATTTAATCGATAAATTATATAGATCTTAGCAATACTAATATAGGTGAGATGCATTTCATATATATATTTATGTATTATTGTAATTTTATTTCACAAGAAAAAAATATTGGAATTATAAGAGATACTTTATGCACTAATATTATTTGGATGAGCAATTTTTAATTGTATAATTGAATCTTATTCAACATTATAATATTTAGTTATAATAAATAAATTACAATATTAAGTATATTATTTCATTATAGTATTATATAAAGAATCACACGTTTTTTTCTATGGCAAACACGTACAATCAAATTGATGGGTAGATTAGTAATTTGATATATATTATGAAAAATTGTCAAATTGAATCTTATTAAACATTATAATTTTTAGTTATAACAAATAAATTACAATATTAAGTGTATTATTTAATTATAGTATTTATCCAAAGAATCAGACGTTTTTTTTTTATTGGTAAAAACGTACAAACAAATTGATGGATGTGTAGATTAGCAATTTGATATATATTATGATTCAATATGCTGAACTCAAATATATATAGCAATTGTTTCAATTTAATAAAGGTAACATTCAATAGTTATTAAATAATGCTTAAATAATTATGAAATTGTTTTTGTTAAAGAAGTACACGAGATACTTATTAAATAAATTTTTTTTTAGTACAAAGAGTGGCCAATATGGAAACCTAATAAACTCTCAACCCTCTCGATGTCACGTCCTATTTGAAATCAATTTTTATTTTTTTATATAACATGTGGTGTGGTTTTTTTAGATACATCTGAAGAGAAAATTCGAAATCACGACTATTCAATTGTATGTAAGTATCTTAACCAACTATGTTCTGATGGGTTATTTAGAACTCTTTCTTTATAAAAAGATTTAAACGGCAAGAATTTATCTTAAATGGTCCTCAAACCAATTTATAGTGAAAAATATATTTTGTATCATTATTTATTGTAAATATCAATAGTAATTTTAATTTTGCATAAGAAAATTAATCTTTATAAGTCATTCTCAAGAAATAGATCATTTTACTTCCTTTTTTCTTTAAAGAAGGCTATCTTTCTGCAATAAAATTATTTTGCTAGAAATAAAAAGGGAAATAAAATGATTTGAGAAAAATTTGGCATGTGGCCAAACACGGCACAAGCTCTCTCTATATATAAAAAGGCTATTTGCAGAAAAGCCCTCATCGAGAAACAGAAGAAGAAGGGAAAAAAAAGCTCTGGCCGCGCCCCACCGGCAGGAATCTCAGCTAAAGCAAAGCAAAGCCATTACAGAGGTAAGATTCTATTCTAATACTTCACCGGAATTTCGCCATGCCGATTCTCTCTCCCAGCTCCAACTACCAATGGATCCTCTCCCTCAAGATCATCCTGATCTCCACCGGAGTTCTGTCCATGGCTGTGTTTCTCAAGCTCTCTCTTCCTCTGCTCACTGATTTCCTCCTCTCTGAAATCCCTACCATCTGGACCTGTTTCGTCTCCTGGTTAAGACCTCCTTACCTCTACTTGATTATCAATTGCATAATCATCAGTATTCTCGCCTCTTCTAAGCTCCAGCAGAAGCTGGACGGTGATGGATCGCCCGCTCCTCCGCCGGTCGCTAAGATCTCCTCTGACTATGTGGTGTATAGCGGTGGCGACATTTCGAATGGATACAGTTACAGTGCGAATCAGAACGTGGTGACGAAGATTTCGGACCTTCGAATCGACGAATCGAACGGTGTGTACGGGCGGATGAGTGTAGAACCTCAACCTAGGGTTTCGGAGATACAGATGAAAGGGGAGAATGATGGTTTGATTGTGATGAAAGCCGCTGATGAGGCTGCCACACCGAGACCGATAACCAACGCTCTGCACAGGAAGGATTCCGTCGGGCTATTGTTTTCGAATGAGAAGGAGAAACCGCCGGTTTCTTCAAGAATCGGTCAAAGAAAATCCGTAAAAGCCAGTCCCGAAGGTTCGCTCTCTCTCTCTTTTTCTCTGTTCATTTCGTCATTCGAATCGATTCTACCAAATGTGTGAATTAGATAGATAAAATCCGGCAGTTTCAGTGAATCGCGCCGGCGAAGTTCGCCGGAGCCAAGAACACGGCAACGGAATGGAA